TGACAAAGGGATCCATTGTTTCCTTTTTTGTTTACATTGGTTGTGGTTGGTTTGGGCAGACTTATGGAGAAAGTAGTGAGGTTAAATTTAGTTTATGGTTTTGTGCTTGGTGGGGAGAGGGTTGTTGTTTCTCATTTGTAATTTGCTGATGATACTATTTTTTTCTCCTCAGGGGATAAGGAGAAAGTCAAAAATCTAAAGAATGTTGTTGATGTTTTTGGGATTGTTTTGGGACTTAAGGTTAATATGGAAAAAAGGTATGGTTCAAGGAATCAACACTAGTAGGGATTCGATTGATAAGTTGGCTGTTGATTTGGGATGTTCTGTGGATGGGTGGCCCTTAAAGTATCTTGGGTTACCACTAGGTGGTAACCGATGTCAAGGTCTTTTTGGGATCCAGTCATTGAAAAGGTTGGTAAAAAGTTGGACGGGTGGAAGAAAGCTTTCTTGTCAAGGGGTGGTAGATTAACACTTGTTCAGTCTATTTTGGTCAACATTTCTAAGTCTTTATTTAGGTTTCTAGTTTGGTTGCTAGGCAACTTTAAGGAATGATGAGAAATTTATTATAAAAAGGAAGTGGAGAGGGTAAGGAGTACTTGATTTCATGGAAGGTGGTGTCTAGATCTAAAGCTAAGGGTGGTCTTTCGGTTGAGAATTTCTTGAAAAGAAATAAAGTTTCAGTAGGAAAATGGCTTTGGAGATTCTCTTTTGGAACAAGATTCATTGTGGTGCTCAGTAATTTAGGAGTAAGTATAGATTACAGGTTAATGGTTGGGATACCAATGGGGTTGTTAGGGGTAGTTTTAGAAGCCCATGGAAGTTTATTTCTCAAAGGTTATCTCTCTTTTTCCAAAGGATAAAACTCTTAGTAGGTAATGGATCTCATGTTCACTTTTGAGAGGATATTTTTTTTTTTTTTGGGGGGGTGTGTCCCTTCTTTTTTAAATCTCTATCCTTGTCTTTATAGACTCTCTATGACTCATGGTCAAATGATTGCTTCCCTTATTTGTTCAAATTTAATTTCTATATCATGGGATTTTGGTTTTCGTAGGAGTCTTAATGATAGGGAGCATGAAGAGTTAGTTTGTGACACCCCAAAATCCGGGGGCTTTTATTAGCCGTTGACCATCCGTCAACCTGCGAAAAAAATACCTGTAATAGTCGCACACCTCGACTCCACATTAATAGCATCCCCTTTATCAAGGTTTTAACCTATACGTAAAACCCGTGTTCGTTTTATCATTGGATCCAACCATGGTGCAAAGTACCACTATTCATAGTCCATTTGTATCCTTGGAACCCAAGAACTCATAAGCCGAAGGCTTGACAATGTATTCTTAAAATTTCAGATTTTTCAAAAACCTTCCATAAGGTTTTTGCTCGACCTTCAGGAAGGTTTTACTTACTGAAAAAATTCTTCCGGAAGATTTTCATCGACCTTCTAGAAGGTTTTGCCCACTGGATAACAATTTATATTAACCTTCCAAAAGATTTTCTTCAACCTTCCGCAAGGTTTTGCCTGCTGGATAAAAATTTACATTAACCTTCCAAAAGGTTGTCATCGACCTTCCGAAAGGTTTTGTCAGTTTTTCTACAATTCCTTCCTTCTTTATTTTCAATCCATACGAAATCACCTCATTTTCATCCCAAACATGCATAATAAAGTTTTCTACAATAAACCACACTTATACAAGTTCATTATCATTCATTTACATAATTTTTTCACGATAATATTACAAAATCCAAATATTACACAAAATGTGTTATATAAGCCACAAGTCGACTTTCTTCATCTCTGAGACTCCGTGTAAAGGCCCTCCACCTGCGTATATCCCGCACCTGAAATGTTTTCCCGTATAGGATGAGCTACGCCCAATAGAGTATTTCCTACAGGGGCTACTCCCCAACCTAAGTGCATATGCAATGTTCACATGCAACATTTTACAAACAACAACCGTTCTAATCAAGACTAATCAATCTATGTTGGAATCTAACATGTCGTGGCATGATATAAGATGATACCCACTCATGCAACTCAACTCGAGCTCTCACCAACTCCTTTCTCTCATGCAATGCCATAAGTATTAAGACCGTACTCTCCAACTCCCGCCATTGGTTTCCCTCATCCAATGACCATTTTAAAATTTTTCAGGTCTTTCTTAGGGTGAGTATTTATAGACTTACATCAACGGTCACCTAACCGACACGGAATTTTTGGACTTCCACCAACGGTTCTGCGTACACCGACACACTTTATAGGCTCTTATACCAATGGAAGTACGTACCCGAATACCAGGTCTCTCACCCGAGAGATAGTCTAGCCTTTTTTGCTATCCCGACCCAATTCTTTTCATGCAACCCAGCGACTCAGCCGGATATTCAATCCAACTTTCCCGAGTCCACCCATCATCTACCTACATGGTATTTGATGTCAACTATGCACCCACACCTATAAAATGCGATGTCTCCGTGCATATGCAATGTAATGCACTATTGTTATTTCAATGTCATGCTCACATGTAATGAATGTCATATAAGTAACTTTAACATATATTTTCATATTTCATGGCCACTCATATCATATGCATATAATAGTCAAATTTCATCTCAATATTAATATATCAAAGAGCATATATCAACATGTTAATATCCAACCATAATCCATAAACATGTTATTTCATATATGTCAATAACACACTTAATTTTCAAAGCATAAATTAAACACATAGGATGCCCACATAATACAAATTTTTCATGAATCACTCTAGGACAAATGCACATAACCCCAAGGTACCAAATTTCATGGAATTACACACGCAATCACCACATATATCAATTCCAAGCTAGAAAATTCATTTGCTAAACCTTTTCTATACTCATTTCATCAAATTCCATCAATTCCACATCCATAGACAAGTGATATATATCTCTATCAACTTACCCATTACATACAACACCCTAGGTTGTAAAATAAACTCAAGTAGGAAGGAACCCTACCTCTTTAAGCGTAAAGAACGACCGTATGAAGTCCTAAGAACCTGCTTCTAACCCAAATTCCAAGCTTCCAAAAATCTCGTACCTTGATCTTCGGTAAAACCCGTCATTTTTGGTGTGGTCGCGTAGCCCTTGGCGAGGAAAGCAACCTTTGTTCTTGGCCCGAGTGAATCCGAGCACTCGATCTCCGTAGATCGTAGAGAAAAGGTGGAGAACTCAAGCCCTTTTTCCTCTCTTCTTTCTCACGTTGGAATCGATTGAAGAAATGGGGAGAAAATCGAAAATCCCCTATTTATAGTCTTAGAATACTTGGCCCACAACGCGCCACACGGCCCCCTTTTTTTCGGGTCCGTTTTCACCCCAAAACAATTAAATTTTGTCTCGGTTCAAGTTCAAAATAATTTTATTTTAATTTGCCTTAAATTATTTTTCAACTTTCGAATTTTTATTAAAAATTCTATTTTTGGGTGACCCCAGACTCGACCGCCTCGTAAAATGCAAAAATCCGACTATCTCAGAATTCGATGAAATTTGAAGTGGTAACTAGATTTCGCGAGACGAATCCAACGGTGAAGTCCGTTTCGTCATCCAAGTTCTAAAAAATTTCAGGTTTACAACCTGTACTGTAATAGCAGAATTACCATTTTGCCTTTTTTCATAAAAAGTTTAAATTTATTGGGTTTTACATAGTTAACCTTCTTTCTTTGCTTAATGGTGTTTCACTCACTCGTGATGTGGTGGATACAAGGTGTTGGTCTATTGATTCTACTGGTGTTTTCTCAAGTAAATCTCATTTTGAGTCATTAATTGATGATCCCTCTATTCTTTTGTTTCCTCCGTCGAGGATGGTTTGGGAAGCTAAGGTGCCTTTAAAGTGCAAATTTGTGTTTGGATTATTACTCATGGTAAAATTAATACTTATGATATGCTTCAAAGAATGAGACCTATGGTCTGTATCTTACCACAAAGGTGTGCGAAGTGCAAAAGTCAAAGTGAAAGAGTGGATCATTTATTCTTACATTGTCCTGTTGTACTTTCACTATGGAACAAGATGTTTTTTAATGTGGGGATTAATTGGGTGGCACCTAGAACTATGTTTTCTATGATTGGCTTGGACGTTATGGGAGGGAGAAGAAATAAAAGGGGGAGAACCCTTTGGACCAGTGCTTTTTTTGCTACTATAGGGATCATTTGGTTGGAAAGGAATAGATGTTTTTTAATGCGGGGATTAATTGGGTGGCACCTAGAACTATGTTTTCTATGATTGGCTTGGATGTTATGGGAGGGAGAAGAAATAAAAGGTGGAGAACCCTTTGGATCAGTGCTTTTTTTGCTACTATAGGAATCATTTGGTTGAAAAGGAATAGAAGAATTTTTCAGGATAAAAACAAGAATATTGAAAGTCTTTGGGAGCGGATTTATTTTTTGGCTTCTTTATGGACGTCCATGACAAAAGAGTTTAAGGATGTCCCTCTTTTTGGTATTATATCGAGTTGGACAGCTTTGTGTGGATACTTAATTGTTTTTAGATTTTTTATTTTATTGTTTTCTTGTCTAGCTCTTTTTGCCCTTTTTTTGTGGTTTGGACTTCTTGTCCACTTTTGACATGCCTTTTTGTATTTCTTTTCTATCAATTTTCTCATTTCCTATAAAAAAAAACATAATCAAATAAAATGTCATGCCCCACAAGCCAACCCAAGGCGATCTTTTAACTCTAGGCATATGATCCATAAATGACACAAATATAATTAATGCAGAAGTAGCAGATATATTACATGCACGTGAAGATTACAGCAACTGAATTATAATAACAAATAGTTTTCTATGTATTTTGTGTTACCATCAGGATGACCGTAAAAACTAGACAAAACCCTTCTGCATGCACATGACAATAGAATGTTTGCCAACATACAAACAATAAGCCTTCAAATGAAACAATCCCCAAAGAATGTGAAACCTATAACAAAGAAAGTATATGGGAAAAAAAAAGTCTATGTCAACTTGACTTACAGGTATTGCAAATTTTTTAGCTGGCCAAGCTGAGGGACCAATTGACCTGATAATTCTGCATTTCCAAGATCACTAAAGCAAGGCACAAACAATTAAGTACAGGCATCAGTAAGAGTTGATGAGAAGGTTCAGATTATTAGGATAAGCTTACAGCATTGAAACAGATATCAAAACAGACAGTAACGAATCAAGTAACTTACACTCTTATCACACTATTTTCATTGTTACAGGTAACATGAAACCACGTACAAGGGTTCACTAGTGTCGGATCCCAACTCTGTAAAACATTGTTAGGGTCATCTAAATTGGTCCGTAGGTTATGCAATGCATCACCTGTGCCCAATGTAAGAAACAATTGTCAGCTGCGGTCAAAGCTCTTATTACTTTCAAGCAAATGACAACATATAGACTTTCCAAATCAGGGGGCATTGAAAGGGAACTATGGACAGAGCCGTGACTGGATCAGTCAGTATGCTACATGTACATTTTGAATCCACACAATAGGACAGGATTCAAAGTTCATAAAATATGCGGAAAGGATATCTCACTACCAGGAATGCAACAAAGTAACAGAGGGCGACCTTCATTGTTTTCTAAAAGTTCTCCACAAAATCTTCTTGACCAAAACTTGTATTACATGTGTATTTCAGGACAAGTCAAACACTCCATGTTAAAAGCACTCTGCTGACATTTTCCCAAAGTTGAAGTTAAGAAAAATCACACATGTCAACATTTGTATTTTCATATAACAAACCGTTGAAGTATAAATACTTAAGCTACATTCTCTCTAACTGATTAAGCTTTTAGAGTAGATAATTGTTTACTATAGTATCAGAATAGGAGGTCCAAGATTCGAATCTCGTCATCACCCCCAATAATTAAAAGAGGGTTAATAGCATTTTTGGCCCCTAAAGTATATATCTTTTGTCAATTTAGTCCTCATTGTATCAATTTTGTTAATTTGATCCCTAAAACATTCAATTCGTGTCAATTGGTCCTTACATAGACGAACCGTTAAATTTTTGACGGAATGATCACCTGTTGAGCACGTGATACTGTTTAAAAAAATGACATGCAGTCACTTTCGTAAAAAAAATTGACGGTCCGTCTATGTAGGACTAAAGTGCCACGAGATTAATATTTTATGGACTAAATTAATAAAATTGATACAGTGAGGACTAAACTAACAAAAAATGTATATTGTAGGGACTAAACGTACTATTAACCCATTAAAAAATTTGAATGTGCTAAGCCCAAAATATAGCCTGAGTAGTCGTGTTGAAATATAAATATTTAAGTTGCATCCTCTTTAACAACTTAAGTTTTTAAAGTAAATTGTTTTTTAACACAAACCATTGACTAATATTCACACATAAGTTGCCAATGAAGGCTCTCTCTCTCTCTCTCTCTCTCTCACACACACACACACAAAGAATTAGCAAGTACTTTCCATGTACACCATACCTCACTCTTGGAATTCCATTAAAATATTTTGTAGGACCATGGGGAAAGTTTATTTCAGAAAGCCTTCTTTCTTATTGATCTCAAGGCATCATTTCAGTTCCAACTTCTACTCAAGATGCAATTTACTATAGTTTCTACTATTTTGCGAAGGCAAGATCTACTTGCTTCCACCAGGAAAAAGGAATGGAGTTCCTCACAAGGGCCTAACAAACTGCCAACAAAATCCCATCCACCTTGATCCCCTCAACAAAAATTTTCGAGTCTCTTCAAGTTTCACTTTCCATCTCCACCTTTCCCTCACATTTTCCCTCTCTACATTGAAAGTCTGTCAAATACAGATGTGAAATAGGACCAAAAAAAAAAAAAAATTCATTCTTGTTGCATGCGAAAATTGGAGGTGGTCATTCAAGTTTTCCGCTGCATCAATTCAAAGTTTTATTAGCAGTTGAGCTGCTTTCATATACAAGACTTGAGGCAGTCGTTCTTCCTAAGTAATCAGATTCTCTTTCTGAATTCTAAAATTCACAATGAACAGAAAATGACAGAATGCATTAAATAATATTACTGCCTAATTCATTTGTCGTGCTTCATAACTAATTCAACCTTGAAACAAATATAATACTTCTAAAGAATACCCATGTCCTTTTCACTGACTTCACCATCACAAATTACAAAAATTAACTAAAATAGTCGTTACAATAAAAAATAATTTGCAAAGAAATATTTTAAAACTTATGCAACACTAAATAATTATTCCTTCACACAATCTTGCACATTATACAACAACAGTAAACTACAATTTTCAAAAAGAAAAAAATTCTATTAAATAATGCTAGAAAAATGGCTGATAATTTACACAAACCTTCCATATTAGCATAGATCATTTTCAGAGGATGAAAAACCATGCCCAGCCATATCAATGCAAAGACAGCCATCTCTCGCTCCATCGCTATCTTTTGGGTCTTTCTCGCTCATCAATTTCACCCCACTTAAACCCTAAAACCCCTCAAAAGCCTAGCTCATTCCTGTACACAACTACGTAAATGTCTCCAAAAACTCAAACATTTTAGCCAAATATCACCTCAATATATTCCGAATCCGAGGAAGATTCGGCAACACGTTCCGCTTTCTCTTTCTAAACTCTATTTCCATATAAACGTAGATGCTTGGGCTCTTTATGGAAATGGTTAATGGATTCGGTTGTGTTTATTGTCTCTCCAGTCTCTACTTTCTCTCGGTGCGTGCAGTGTTTCAGCTGCCCACAGAGGACTGCCCGTTGCCCGTGCTCAGTCAGAGCACACTCTCTCACTCTTTTTTGGAGGGGTCTGCACTTGCACCATTTTGGTCAGAGGGGTCGCTGTGGGGACCACAGTTGCCAACTGGGATATAGACAAAATGTGAATGATACTTCTTTAGTTTTGTAATTACACTGCTATCCCCTCTAGTTTGATGTTGTATTTAAGGGTTAATCCTCAGTCAACTAAATACTAATTAAAAATATATATAATAAAATATAATACAATTCAAATTTTAAAAGATAAATAAAATAATTTTTATTTTTTACGATCTAGATTTGTCTAAATTTTACTTTTAAGTTAATCTAACGGTTAATATTAACATTTTAAATTTAATAGAGAAAATAGGTCCCTAAAAATATATTTGGGATACCTTTTTAAAAGTATGTGTAGAACTTATAATTTCTTATAAATATTTAAAAAAAAAAAAAATAGTGTTTGGAACCGTTATACTATTACCATCGTCACTACCACCACCATCATCACCCCATCAACACAACTAGCCCGCCCCACCCCTACCCCCACCACCATCGCTACGACTACAACCACCACCACCACCACCACCGTCGCCACCCCACTACCAATTTTGCCACAACAACCAGAACCACCACCCCAACTACCCCATTACCGCCACCACCACCATAACCACCCCACCACTGCCGCCACCATTACCCCCACCACCCCCATCCCCACTACCACCACCATAACCACCATCACCACCATTGCCATCACCCTATCACCATCGCCACTGTCACACCATTTACCCTACCACCACCATCTCCATCGTCACTGTCGCCACCCCACCATCATCGTCACTCACCACCGATTGCTACCACCGTCATCCACTGCCACCACTCACCATTATCGTTATCTCATTTTTATATTTATTACTACTACTATTATCATCCCACTATCACCCGTTAGTACACACCACAACCATTGTTGCCCACCACCACTACCCACCATCTACATACACAAACTTGATATGATGTCACCTATTTTACCTTTGTTATTTTACTTGTGAATAACAACTATGGGGATGAATTTGTTATAAAGTTTCAAACTATATCTACAAACTCTCAAGCATATTGGGAAAAATAGTTATTACATATTTGCACTGGCATGATGTTAACATGAATATTTCTTATACTTATCTTGGTAATTTCCACACTTGTGATTATGTTATGTCTTTGTTATATATTATGCTTTTCACAAGGTATTGGTTTAGTGGTTATGTGCATGACTATGATCTTCAAAGCTACATCTAAGGATAACTCTTGTACTTAGAGATTAGGGACTTATACACTAGTGTTGAAATTTGTTTACAATTATTTTTGTTCAATGGTTTGAGAGGTGTAAGCTTAATTTCTTGTGTATTTTGTCATGAAATTGGCAAGTGGGGAGATTGTTAGATCATGTTTCGTAATTAACTAATTTCGTGAAGTCCTTAAAAGTCTCAATTTATTTTATGGTCATGATACTACAACAATGAAGATTCAAAAGCATCAAATAATTGGGAGGAGACCATGCTTCAAACTACATCAAATCAACTCTCCATATACATCTACATGCTTAGGATAAATGTAATGACCTCAGAGGCCTAAGAACCATTAGTTTAACTTATTAGATGTAAGATGATTAGTGTTATAATGGAATCCGTGATTAATCCATGTATAACTCTTAGGTATTCTTCAAATAAAAGTTTTTCTAAACCTCTTTTATGGTTTGAAAACATAAATTGAGTCATTAGTGGACGCCCCTTGAGCAACACCCTTTAGTGTTTAAAAGCATTAGTTTTTTTTCTTGATTTTAGACTTAAAAAATCATTAGATATTGCCCTATGTTCGCTAGCCCTTCATTAGAGCAATCTCTAAAAAACTTACAAAAAATTCGAGAAAAGGCTATGCGTATAGTAGTGGAGACCGCCCTCTTGGACGCTCTTAGGTCTCTCAAGCGGTCTTGAGATGGCTCGAATGATCCTTGAGGTCTCTCGAGCAGTCCCTACTATATACGTCTATTTGGTTTGAATCCAAATTTCATTCTGGTGACCACCACCCTCTGACTATCCTACTCATTTACAAATCTGTATTTTCTTAGACCCAAGAAAAATTCTATTCTGAGTCAGAAATGCACTTACAATGACGTAGAACAACAAGAATAATAATAATTCAGAAACCCATAAATAATCCAAGCCCTGTGTAAATATAGTTTCCTTAAGACAAATTTAATCCATTTAAGTGCTTAAAGTTATAAGCAACAACCTCTCTCAAGGTAGAACGAATTTTCGTTTCTGAAGAAGTAGCATTTCAATCTTTAAAACTCCAACGAACACAACTTTGTGTTTTATACTTGAATTGAATAAATATGTAATGCAGAAAGAGAGAGACAATACTACAACATTATGCAGATTATTGTCTATTTTTTTGTAATTGAAAATGGTTGTAAAGCAATCAATTTATAGATCCTTAGTGTTTGTTAGGATTGCTTGAAAATGCACATGGTGACACTGTTCGTTCAACTTGTTCGAATGTAATGAAAGGGAAATGTATCTCTGAAATGAACAAACACAATTCAATTTTGGTGCCAAATTCAAATTTAACGGACATAAAATTTAAAAATCCGGTTGGATATTAATTACGATTCATATTCAGATCTGTTTGGTTTGACCCACAATCTGCATTGCACCAAATAAATTTTTTTCAAAAAAATAATATCTTTTTGACCTAAGGCCCGGGTGGGTTGGGTCGTGGGTGAGGTTGGCGCACGCGCGTGGTAACCAATGTTGTATAGGTACATGGTCCATTCATGAAAGTGTAATACTCATTGGAGTTCAACCCATGAAGCCAACTAAGAGTATATTAACTCACTAAATTTTTAGTTTTCTTCTAATATTGGACAAACTTTATATATTACATTTCATTAAACTTATTTCATTCCATCCATTCTAGTGGATCATTTTAAGATTTAGTTTCTCATACAATACTTAATATTTTTGAACAAATAAATATATCACGTTAATCTCATCGCAGAAGAGAACACGTTTAAACTTAATCCCACTTTTATGTTAGTCCAAAGTTACTAAAAATAACTTCATCAAAACCATTATTTTCCAACAATGCTAAAACGCACACCATCTTCAAATGAAATCTACCTTTATAATTTTCCTTTTCATCTAGTCCTATATCACATTTTCAATTTTAGGTAAATGATTTCATTAAAATTGATAGTCAATTTTTGGGATCAAAATCTTATTTTCAAACTGATTGAGCAAATAGAAATTTATTCTTAGATTATATCTCATTTATGAATTATTTTCATTTAGGGTGTATTTGGATAATAGGGTTGCACTGGATTGAAAATCTAAACAAATATCATTTTCTATCCAACTCAAACTCACCTATTATTAGACTAGTTAGGATTTAATGACTATATTCTATCATTTCTAATGTTTGGAATCTTTGGATAACACATGCATTTCTGTGAAAACCATTAAAAAAGGTGATGTAATATGGTATCATTGATAGTAATTGTTAAATATTATAATTTTTAAAAATGTTGTAATTTTATATCTGTCAAATAGGTGTTCATATGTTACAAAGACTATTGAGAGTTAACTCAAGCTCTCATTAATTTGTCATTTTATTATTAGTTGTTAATTAATCTTAGTCCAAATAGGATATTATTTTATTAGAATTAGTTAATTGTTTAAATTGTTGTCTTGTTGGATAAGAATTCTTGGTCTTCTTCTTTTTTTTCGAAAGGTATATCGACAGTGTCTTGCTTTAATAAAACAAACTTGTTGAAAAAATAAGAATTAAATCTGTGAAAAAATAGGAGGAGACGACGAAGCAGAGAGAGAGAGAGGAGAATAGAGTAATTCGGTCATTTACATTAATTATTCTATCAAGCAAAAAAATATCCCTGCTTCCTTGGGTTTCATTTAACTTATGTAGATGGATTAAAGTTGACTTTTTAAACTTGATTATGATAAAATTCAAATGGGATTTTTGATATATTTTTCACTCACCAAACATTTGATATATGAACCCCATATATTTTTTTATTCTATCATATTAGAATTATTCCTCTTTAAATTGCGATCCAAACATACCTTTATAGTTGTGAAATAATTTATAATGCGTATAATCACCCCCAAATCATATTAGCGGAACTTGTTGGAGGACAATGCATTAGCAACCACTTATTTGGTATGATTTATGAATTTTGTATTCTAAAATTACATAATCTTTTTGGGTAAATTAAAATGTTTTGATTTTTAACAAAAACAAGACTAATGGAAGATGATGTGACAAATACACTTGGATTATCTCTTCAATAACTAAATAAAAAACGTATGAAAATTTTGTGGTTATGAAATATTTATCCTTGAAATCAGGTAGTGACTAGCCACCACTCGCAATTCTTTGGTACCCTCTTTTTCTTTTTCTTCGAGTACATGATGGATGGTGGTCAACTAGTCATGGCTGGTGGGCAACCAAAATTATTGTAAAAACATATTTATTTTTTAAATTTTGGATTAGGTTGTAAAAATTAGGGTTGTCAATTTTATCCATCGACATGAATGTTGTAGTATGAATTTGACACGACATGATTTTAAAATTAATATATATATATATATATATATAATGAATTGAATTAATATTAAATACTTGTAAGACATTAAAATATCTTTTGTGTGCGAGTATGACACAATTACGATACAAATTAAAATAATATGTCTTAAAAATAATAAAACGAAAATGAGAGCACATGTGAATTGATATTTCTAATATAAATAATAATGGCCAACCAAATTGGTCGTAATTTCAGAACATTCTATTGTGGATGGAGCCCATATTGGTGACAAGGTCACCATCTTTTCTCCATGGTTAATATTGACTAGTTGAGTGTAGACAACTGATTGTCAAGCCATTTTGACCTTTTTTGTG